CTGAGAGTATGGGATGACTGAAGTTGTAAATAAAGTTTGTAAATATGGTTTGCTTTTTAATTTAAGTAAGTTACTTATTTATTTTAATTAGACTTTCTGATTTGAAAATATTGTTGCGGTGAAACCGTAACAGTATATCAAATACACGTATACATTTTACTTTTTTTTTCAAAAAGTAGGTAAAAACAATGCAATAGGCAACCAGAGTTGCAGTGGTGAAAATTGTAAAAATACTAACAAAAAAACAGTTTTTATATTTTATTTTTGTTTTATTTTAACTTTATTCTAACTAGACTAGAATATCATTTTATAAATCATTGGTGCCAATGTTTGTTTGTTGTTCTTTGACCTACATTTTTTATTGCATGATATGATCAAAAGATGTACTTCTAAAATAGTCGATCACAAAGGATATATTATCGGTTATTTTGGACTTGACAAAATTGTTTAAATTACCCTTTTTTTTTATCGAAAAGGCAAAATATTTTAAAACGTTTATTGAATAAAACTAACATTTAATCTGAATATTTTATAGTTTACAATAATAGATGTTATTTCTTTCAGAAATATACTTTCGCATAGTCTTATTTAACAATAATATTGTAAAAATTAAGTCAAGTATTGGACTTTGTACGAAAAAATTATTAAAACCTTAATATGAAAAAAAAAAAATGTACCGAGAATATTGATTCGAAATACCCTACCGAAAAGAATCCACGAAAAACTTCGGCCCAGAGACGGCAAACTCCAAAACGACAAGACTGCGAAGCCCTTCTCCATTTCGGGACTCGAAACGATTAAAAAAGATATGGTAGGGCTTAATAACATTTTAAGTGCTAATGGTCTCCCGAAAAACTAATTTCGTTTTCTTCGGAGTGCAATTTCGTCCGCTAAACTTTCCCAGTATGGAGTTACCGCATTCGCCAGGTCGTTTTCGAACTTCTTGTAGAGTTTAAGATCTAATGAACCTTGGAATTAGTTCTAACAATCAGCACGAACAGCGAGAGCTTACCGGAAAAGGGGGTTTTCGACCGTATCTATGCATTGAATTCGAACAAGTTTCGTATGCTTACATTTTTAGTGTTATTTTCTTTATAGAATTTTAATTTCGATAATAAATTACATCTTTTCTAAGTGCTAGAACATATTTTTATTATTGCAAAAAAAATATTTTGAGTTAAACTGTGTTTTAGTTTGTCATCAGATCTATTTAGTTACAGGTTGTTATTATTATAATAATTGTGTTTAAAAAAAAACAATCAACAATAATCGTATTTATTCAATTTTCATATTTTCTAAACAAAAAAAAAACTAAAAAACAAAAAAAAAATATAAAAAAACAAAAAAAAAAAATATACCCCTTCCAGGATTTAAACGCGGTCTCTCGCCAGGTCTCAAATGGCAAAGTTGATAAAGTTTGATACTCTACCACCTGAGCTGATAGGCCTTGCGTCAGTTAAATGATTTAATCGGTTATGTATTTAACCAGAATAAAAAGCAAACATAAATTAGTTATTTTAAAATTATTTTAATAATAATTGTCAAAGATAAATATCTAGGATCTAATTTACAACAATTACAATAATTTAACGAATCATATCGATTTTAGTATTAATATGGACATTACATACACTGAGAGAAACGTTTGTTTAATGTTATGAAACCTTATTAATATTTAACATATGGTAGGTTTGGATATGGCCGAATTTACGTAAGTTCACTATAACCACGTCATAAGTTAAAAGCTCATCAGTTAAAAATAAACACCGATATATTAATATTAAACTTATTTACTGGTTTAAAATTAAAATAGATTTATTAACATAAACCAAATATGTTAAATATTAACAAATACAGTGAGCATTATAAGTCTTACCCCCCCCCTAATTAACTCGTTACTGGAGTCTTGTTAGGAAAATCGCCGGGACACGTCGATTGATTTTTACAATGTACATTTTTGTATGAATAGTTTTCTCTTATTTTATCCCTTACTGGAGGGGGAGCAACCCTTTCGAAAAATTTAAATGGCATAGGGTGGTGAGTGATAGCTCATTTGAAAAGGGGTTTTATTCTCTATTCAACCGTGTAAAAATTTTTGAAATTTGCTGCATTACGTGTTGATTTATTAATGTTTAAAAATAACAAAATATCACAAATAGGAAAGTGAAACTAACAGTGACCTTATCTAATGGCAAAAAGTCTTACTTCACGTCTGAACCAAAACCGATATCAAGCAGGGCCGAATTTTAATTCTAAGGATGAATGTGCTACGTTAATTTCCGTTATTCTGAAACAATAATTAGTCTAGAATTAATGAAGCAAATTTTAAATTTTTTTTGCACGGTTGAATAGAGAATAAAACCCCCTTTCAAATGAGCTATCACTCACCACCCCATGCCATTTAAATTTTTCGAAACGGTTGTTCCCCTCCGGCAAGGGATGAAATTAAGGGTAAACTATTCATAAAAAAATGTACACAGTAGAAATCAAAAATCGACGTGTCTCGGCGATTTTCCTAACAAGACTCCAGTAACGAGTTAGATAGGGGGGGGGGGGGGTAAGACTTATGATGCTCACTGTATATGTTTTAACGTTATATTTTAAATGTTCAATACAACATTTGTATCATAGTTATCAAATGTGAACTTTTACTATTAAACGTTATTTGTAAATAAATGTTAAAATGTGATTGTTAATAGTTAATAAACCTATGTTTTGTATTATATTTCATTAGTTAATAAAGCAGTATTCTATATTTCCAAGATATCTTTGTATCTTAGTTTTCAAATCTTACCTTTTATTATTAAAAATATTAATTATAAATGTTAAAATTTGTTTGTTAACAGTTAAGAACAGTATAGTTTAAGAAACCTTGTGTATGTTTAATATTATACTTTAATTGTTTTATAAAATACTATTCGATTTCCAAGACATCTTTCTATTTTAGTTATCAAATGTTTTATGTTAATATTAAACATACTAATTGTGCTCGCTTATTAAATAGCGCCAGGGAAACGTGATTAGCAAGAGCGTAGTGGCATAATCAAAAATCTGATGTGTCCAACACATGACTTTCCTATCTAGTTATTATAGGCTTTTTCCGGTTATTTTGTACAACCTATTGCAGCATCTCTATAAATGTTTAGAGGATAAACTAAATATATACATTGTCCACATACATCTACCTCGAAACATTTTTCTATAGATATTCATTGAAAACGAAAATACTGAAAAATTTAAATTTAGCACTTTTCTATTACGGTCCATTTTAGAAAAATCATGTATAAACAAAAATTATAGAGATCGATATCGCAAACAACTTTTATTTGAACAATTTTTGTAAAAAATATTTTTTTACATTTTGTCAAATTTCTCGAATACCGACCATTTTAGGAAAATTTTGTATAGAACAAAAATTATAGATAATAAATATTAGAAGTAACTTTTATTTGAACAATTTTCTTCTCCAAACATAAATAACAGATATATTCCATAAAATATAAAAACGGCCTTCCATAAAGTACCCCCCTAGATGTTCCGACTTTGTCCAAAATCTAATCATTTCACGTCAGTCCGAAATAAACCTTAAGTTTAAAATTTAATGTTTTTTTCTTTATCCGTTTTTGAGTTTTCTTCAAAATTCGAAATTTACACATTTTCTCAAATATCTCGAATACGGTCCATTTTAGAGAAATTATGTATAGAATAAAAATTATAGAGAAATATATTACAAACAACTTTTATTTGAACAATTTTTATAAAAAAATATTTTTTTTACATTTTGTAAAATTTCTCGAATACGGACCATTTTAGGAAAATTTTGTATAGAACAAAAATTATAGATAATTATATTAGAAGTAACTTTTATTTGAAGAATTTTCTTCTCCAAACGTAAATAACAGATATATTCCATAAAATATAAAAATGACCACCTATAAAGTACCCCCTTAGATGTTCCGACTCTGCCCAAAATCTAATCAGTTCATTAGACGCTGGAATAAAGCTTAATTTTAAAATTTGGTGTTTTTCTGTGTATCGGTTCATGAGTTATGCGACCTACAGACACACACACAGACATACACACACACACACACACACACACACACACAGACATCATCGCGAAAATTGTCAAAACGGATTCAGTGGACCTCAAAACGTAAAAATCCGTCGAAAACTCGAGGTCGAAAAAAATCATGATTCCTATACTTTCCTTATATCTGTATACAGATAGGAAAGTAAAAATAGATATTAACACGTATCAAAACAATAAAATTATTAAAATTGAATTAATATTTATTTGTTATTTATTTTAAGATAATGTGTTTTTATGAAATATAACTGGGTGTTCACTGCACAAATAAACCAATGGAGAAACCGCTTCTAAACGCCGACAAACATTATCCTCTTTGTTTTTTATTCCTATAGGTCGCTGCGCTACATTCTTTAAACAACTACCTAGTGTTCTATAAGGACCGGACTGTGAAGTATAATTAAAGATTTAACGACTTACCTGCAAGGAAGTTCAATTACGATTGAACCTTCCTACAGTTAAGCCGTTCGATGTTAAATTAGACGTCTTTATTTGTATTGTAATACATGGGTACATTGCGGGGGAAATTTAGCCTGAGGCTATTCTTCCACCTAACCTCTGCATTAGATAGATACTGATAAAAATACATAAAATACAATAATATACATTATGAAGTAGATTCAAGATACTAACAGCTCTCGCAAGTTTTCATGTTATTTTATAGGGAAAAATAAGTTTTCTTGTTCTTTTATGGGGAAAAATTATTTTTTGAGTTTTAAGAAATGAATCATGAATAACATGCGAGAGATGCCGATGACAATCTCCAGCAAGTCGCCACATTTTCGGGCTTTCGCCAGCGGATCGCTGGTGATACGCCGAGATGAATATCTGGCGAATCGCTGGCGATCGACTATACATACGGGTGTAAGTTACTAATTACAGTATGTTTACATATTAACTAAATATTATGCTAATTTAATAAATCGACACCGATAAATTTTGGTATTTCGAAAATTAAATTCAAAAATTTATTATCATCGGTCCTGCAAGCGTAGGAATATCCTCTCGCAACGTTATGCTTGTCCCAATTTAACCAGGACACTGATCCAGACACATCTCGATCGCAGATTTTCTGACCCTGATTGTTGATCTCTTCGTAAGGATTGTTATGTCCTACAAGAACAATTCCTTTTTGGTTAACAGGATCATACAACAATTTCCAGAAAACTGCCGGTACCGGCAGTGCCGGTGAATTTCTTCTGTCGTTATCGTCAATGTACAAATAAAGTTTTTCAAAATTTTCGGTATACTCATTTTGTAAAGTTGATATGCCGTATATGCCTGTCCAGGTATGCAATAACACATTGTTTTTCGATACGTAGTTTCTTACGTCCGCCTCCATGATATTCCAGTTACCCCCGTTGAAAGTACTCCACTGTGGTGCTACATTGATGTACCTAAAAAGTCGATTGCCTCATTAAATATTTTTAAATAAATTTAAATTAAGAAAATTATATCAAAATTAAAAAAAAAGTTCTTTATACCATTTGAAATTAATCTATTGGCTGCTTATGAGCTTATGAGAATAATTAACAATAATAGAATCCGTTTTAATAGTTAAAAGTAGACTAATACTAAATAAAAAAAAGTAGTTAAAAGTACAGTGATGCCAAAGCAATATTAAGTGTAAAGGTTAAAGAAAAGGTCCTTTATTTCTCACAAGTCAATTTATTGGCGACCGGTTTCGAAGTTGTCACTTCATCATCAGGCACACCTAAATGGAATGTCAAGGAGTCAGTTGTAATAAAAACAATTATAAAAGCATGAACGGACTTTAACATATAGAAAATAACAGAAAAAACACAAAAGAAAGTTAAACAATAACCTTGACTCACCTTGACTAATTCCATAAAGGAAGCGCTACAAAAAGTTTAACAGAACGAGTCATACGCCAAAATTTGACTTTTCTTTTTTGACATTCGTACTGTCAACCTAGTTTCCGTTTCCTGTAACAGTAATTTGCTTTTTGATTATCTGCTTCAAATTTCCCTTTTACATATGAATTTTCATATTTTCTTGTTTAGTGTTCTAATTTTCTTGTTAGTATAAAACTTTTTTGGCTTTCTCATTCTCAGTTTAATATATTTTACTTTCAATAAATTTTGTCACCGCCACCTATACTCACTTTCAGTAAATAACACCTCCGTTAGTACACTATTTATCCACTAATTTAAAATTTACAGTTTACTGCATTGATTCGTTAAAAATCTAGATAGATGTCTTGACAGTCTGATAATTTTTACTTTTTTACTTTTTACTTTCAGTAATTAACATTATATCCTTAAAATTTTTAAACTGTTTGTGCTTGTAAAACTATTTTGTGTTGTTTAGTTAATAATTGTCTTAAATGTGTTTTAATTAATTATTTTATTCAAAAAGACATCTGGTGGTTTAACCTAACCTACATTAAAATTTTTTAAAAAATACTTATTACACATGACTTTTTTAACTCGTTCTGTTAAACCATTGTATTTAGATCAACTAGTAAAACAATACCAATGCAAGTTATCTTGGAGGACAATGGACAGTATCAATAGATGGCAGCAAGCTCCGTGGTGTCCAAGTCATGTCTTTGATAATTTTGTCGTCTTCGAAACGAACGTAATTTCTCTATTTACTAATAGATGGGCCCATAATCGATTCAGAATATTTGTTTTAAAAATGGAATAAACGAGTTTAATCATGCTTGTTGAACATTTATTTACGATTTATTATCATTTTAGAGAATATAAACAATAGTAATTTAAATTTAGCACTCTACCCATATGAATTTAAATATTAAGAAAATTTTATGTATATAGAATTCTGTACTCAATGATCGAGGAAGTGCTAGCGTTCGGGCTATTTTGATGAATTTCTAACAGATGTCGCGACAGAATTGCCTCCAATGAAACGTCCATAAGGTTGTTCTACTATCTTCTCTAAATACAATGGTTAAACTTTTTGTAGCGCTTCCTTTATGGAATTAGTCAAGGTGAGTCAAGGTTATTGTTTAACTTTCTTTTGTGTTTTTTCTGTTATTTTGTATATGTTAAAGTCCGTTCATGCTTTTATAATTGTTTTTATTACAACTGACTCCTTGACATTCCATTTAGGTGTGCCTGATGATGAAGTGACAACTTCGAAACCGGTCGCCCATAAATTGACTTGTGAGAAATAAAGGACCTTTTCTTTAACCTTTACACTTAATCCCTACTACTCACATATGGCTACCCTCACTCCAAACCAAAGCAATATGCACGATAGTGTCATCATAGTTTTTTTTTTAATTATTGGCCTACATAGCTAGGATGATACAGCCATTTGGTAATAAAAGGTAAATATAATATTTTACAGCTTAATTTTAGACATTTGTTTAAATTTTGATATTTTTTTAACATTACCGAAAGACAGAAGCTTAAAAAATATATCAAAAAGTGTAACAGGAACTATAAAATTTTTTGGGATATCTAAACTTCTAAAAATTTATAAATATAAAAATTATTCTGACTATTAAAAAAAATGTGCTGTAAATTATCCCGTTCTCCAAACGTATATCTATCATTTTCTTTTATACCTATTTTCTTGAGATGCACCATACTCAAACAATGATCGCTTCTTAATCTGCAAATGGTACTAATATCCCTTCTATTTTTGTAGAGAAAATTTCTATTTTTTGTAGAGATAATTATTAATATTTGTACAAATTTTAACAGAAGTTAATAGTAATAATTACAATAATTGTAATACATTTTTACTTTTACAAACAATAGTAAAATATACTAAACATTGTGGTCTTCTTTCCTATTGTTGTAGCATTTTATTCGACAATTCAATTGCTACAATAATGAATAGTTTTTAACTATAAATTATAGTAAAATTTTCTACAAAAAGTTAAGTATTTTTCTACAAGTCTACTATTACAACATTGTAGTAAAATTTTCTAGTCACATTTTTTTCCGTGTAACTTCAAACCACCCTAACTCAGTTTTAATAATAGGAAAAATGCTAAATATGTAAAACTTTATGCTTTACAATTTTTATTAAAAACATTTTTTTATAGCACCTATCGTTTTTAAATAACTTTAAAAAACACTTTTATTTTCTTTTCGTAATTTATTAATAAAATACCGCATAAAACAAATGAATATGCAAAAGGCCTTATTAACAAAGAGAGTATGGAACTTTGATTAATTATTGTAATTTTACTTGTTTTTAATTGTCGTAAAATTGTTTTAACAGGGATGAAAGCGGTTTAATTAATATAAAATATAAGTCTAACAAATCGTTAACAAAGTTACACTATTTTCTTTATAGATTTCATAAATGCGCAATAAAATCATATCATTGATGTATATTACTTTCCTAGAGCACCCTATTTAATTGAAATTAATTATTTTAAATTATTCTCCATTTTTTGCAAGGTACCTTTATTTTAATATTAAAAAAAATGTATACTAACCTGAAAGTGGCTCTTTGTTGTGCTTCAAAGAAAAAATCAGCTCTAGGCGCTAGATGTCCACGATTTAAAAACGTTCTTCCATTCACGTATTTCGTAGAATTATCAACCAAATTTACTATAGCATTAATCGTCGCTTGGTTATTCCTGTATATCATTCTCAAAGATCTCCCCATTCTATAAAACAAATCGTCTTGTCTGAATCCTGGTCTAGAAACGTTTCTAGCACGATATTCTACATTAGGAATCACTTTAGCAAAAGAGTAACGTGCTAATTTGATTTTGGAATCAAAACAGACATCGATTAAATCCACAAATCGATCTGTTGTTAACTTGAAACCGATTTTAATAATTTTTAAATTTGCATCGTTGCAATTTATGTTGGGATCATCTTCGGATAATTCATTATATTTTATTTCCTGTATATCCGGGTTCACATCGTTCGAACACATTATTTGACTCCATTTCGTAGTTTTTCCGTTAACTAGAAACTTTTCTTTGTCAATGCATGTTATTGTGGTTAAAGACGTCAGTTGTTCCCCACCAGATAAGATTCTTGCCCCGGGGCATGTTATATCCAGGATCTCTCCCGCGAAAAAGTTGGTTTTGTTGTTATATTCTGGATAAATTAAGGTAGCCGTCTCGTGGTATATTAGCAAAGGAGCTCTTGTTTTGAATGAATCTATGTGGCAACCTAAAAAGTAAATTCATTAGGAATTCCTTTTTACATACACATCGATAAAATACGTCTTTCAAATTATATAATGAAAGTTATAAATTAAACATTGTAGAAATTCAGAAAATAAAAACAGAGAAGATAATTATTAATAGAGCTCTTTTATTAAATAATACTATACCTTTATTGGCCTTTAGAGTTGCTAAATGTCCAAAATGGATGTACAATAACAAAAGAGGAAACAAAAAATTAATATGTGGTTTCATCTTATAATGCATTAATAATAGAACTAAACAAGGTTACTTATCGACCGCTATTTATATTGAATTAATTTTAAATGAAATATAGGATCATAATAATGAATTTGGTATCATTAACTTTAATTCTTCTATCAATAAATGTATTAAATTAATAATCATTTTATTTTTTTATGGAATTAAAAGGTATAACCTGTTTACATACTTACAATCTCTGTATCATAATCTATACAGATAGTTTACAAAATATATATAAAAAAATACCTGTGGCACTCGGGGACTGCCGCGGTAAAGCTATTGCATAGCATTTTTTATCAACTTATGCAATTATAATTATTTATTTATTTTATTTATGCAGTATTTTTTACTTTGATATTAATTCAAATTTTTTCTTTGATATTAATTCAAGTTACACTTTTTAAGCGTGGTGACCGATAAGAAAACAATTTTTTTCTTTTATTGAATAAATGAGAAGTTAATATTTTTTAAAATATTTTTATAATCTTACAATACATGTAGGTTATTCAGGAATTTTTATCATTGAAACTATAGGTTTATGGTAACTGAAATAAGAAAGATAAATTTGAGACTTGATATCCTCTAAATATCTGAAAAATACCGCGTCAATGGTGGTCCCATATTTTGTTGTGGATTCTTGTGGATCATTATTCATTTTTAAATTCAATTTTTCCGAAATGGTGTCTAAAAGAGATAGAATCAGTTATGAGCAGTTAGCAGCTAGTCTACACGCATACGTCTAGTCGCACGCACACAAACACCGTGCCGAAGTCTGCCGAACTGAAACGACGTTAGACGCTGCACGGCTTTCAACGCCGCACCGCTGTGCCGGTCGGAGTTGGGGGTGTTAGGTTTATTTTCGTTACGGAATTTCTTTGATTTGATTTTTCGATTTTTAAATTTTTAAATTTTTAAATTTTTAAATTTTTAAATTTTTAAATTTTTAAATTTTTAAATTTTTAAATTTTTAAATTTTTAAATTTTTAAATTTTTAAATTTTTAAATTTTTAAATTTTTAAATTTTTAAATTTTTAAATTTTTAAATTTTTAAATTTTTAAATTTTTAAATTTTTAAATTTTTAAATTTTTAAATTTTTAAATTTTTAAATTTTTAAATTTTTAAATTTTTAAATTTTTAAATTTTTAAATTTTTAAATTTTTAAATTTTTAAATTTTTAAATTTTTAAATTTTTAAATTTTTAAATTTTTAAATTTTTAAATTTTTAAATTTTTAAATTTTTAAATTTTTAAATTTTTAAATTTTTAAATTTTTAAATTTTTAAATTTTTAAATTTTTAAATTTTTAAATTTTTAAATTTTTAAATTTTTAAATTTTTAAATTTTTAAATTTTTAAATTTTTAAATTTTTAAATTTTTAAATTTTTAAATTTTTAAATTTTTAAATTTTTAAATTTTTAAATTTTTAAATTTTTAAATTTTTAAATTTTTAAATTTTTAAATTTTTAAATTTTTAAATTTTTAAATTTTTAAATTTTTTCGATTTTTCCATTTTTTAATTTTTTCGATTTTTCCATTTTTTAATTTTTTCGATTTTTCCATTTTTTGATTTTTTAATTTTTTTGATTTTTCAATTTTTTTATTTTTTTCGATTTATTCGATTTTTCGGATTTTTCGATTTTTCGGATTTTTCCATTTTTCGATTTTTTAATTTTTTCGTTTTTTTCGTTTTTTTTTTTGGATTTTTAAATTTTTTCGATTTTAACGCAATAATTGGAAGTTCACAGCATTTGGAGTGTGGAATATTGTTGTGCTGTGGATCATCTCACGTGTTTCTCATCCTTGGAAGGCTACCAAGTTAACCCTTTACGAAAAAGGGTTTCACCCAGGGGGTTGTTAACCCAGGATTCGACGACAGTTTCACCCAGGGCGGTTGTTAACCCAGGATTCGACAACAATTTTTACCCAGGGGGTAGCGACTCAGGATTTCAACAGTTGTACACAGAGGGTTATATCGTCCGGAGTTCAACGGTTTCATCGTGGACTCATCGAGAGAACACAGATCATTGGTATGCTAGCCGCCTAGTTTACCTGTAGCTAGATTTACAAGGATGATTCTCGTTCTGGATAGGAAGATGGGAATGCTGTGAAAGAAGACACCCTACTATCAGGTTTTTCTTATACGTTATATTGAAGGTTTCATGTGTGCACTGTTAAACTATACATTCACTTTCAACCGAATGTTGTCAAGGTATTCTTAACATTATTTATACTTTTGAGCACAGAATGTTCTAGGGTTCTTTCACTCATAACTTATGTATTATCAAATATTACATCGTTTAATTGATTAATATTTCAAACTTTTTCTTAATTTAAGCACTTAATGCTGATGTAGTAATCCTTCGGGTCGCAGAACTAACTTAAACGTGGACTGCTTCCACGTTTAAGTTGTAATTCTTCAGTTATTAAGGGCTACTGTCATAATTTTACTTTTTCAATTTATTCATTATTAAATGGACAAGACTTAACGTATAAGTTAAGCAATCTCAGAAGACCCGTGTGGGGGCAGAGATTAAGTAACCTCTTCCAACCTGGGAGTTTAAGTAAATAACCTCTGTGTCTAAAGTCCTTTATGTGTTCATTGTATTTTTATTTTATTTTTATATTTTTATTTAGTTCTATGAATTATACTTAATTATAAAATTTCATGGTTTAATAATTTTCTTTTGGGTAGTTTGGTCTTAACCAAAAGTTAAGCAAATATCGCCTTCCAATTTGGAGAGGGTTATAAGCTTATAAGGATTATAAGTTTACTGTTTAGTTTATAATATATGATGTAGTATAGGTGCGGTTATGCACAAGATTTGAGTTAACTATTATTTTATATTTTATGTAAGGTGGAAATTAATATTTTGCGCAAGCGTCATGCCTGGTACCAAGCTAACGACGAACCGTGCCATATTTTGATACATTTAATAATTTATTTTGGGTTATGCATATACATATATGGTGTAAACTTTCCCTTTAATTTCCTCCAACTTATTTTTTTTTTGGATTATCTAAAGCCATTAGGTAATTAATTAGTTTTAGTAATTTGTCGAACTCATAATAAATTGTTGAAATTTAAAGTTGATATATTTAGTAAATATTTTTCCTCTTTTTTTTATAAAGGAACATAAGTCGAGGTTTGTCTTTTATTTCTTTCCTCATTTACTGGGTTTTTGGGGAAATGGATCATAGTTTGGCCACTATATAGACCCAGTTGGCGCCTACTCATTTGTCTACTATTTCCGGAATTCTTGTAAGCTATCCACCCCCTAGCTGCCGTCTGAGCGACGTCGAAGGCCCGAAGGTTGACACCGGAACAGCCGAAACTTGTGTAACCGTAGTAGACAACATTTTTAATTGTAGTTAATACTTTAATAATTTTTTTTTAAGTTTAAAATTTTGGTGGAATCACCGAGTTCATTTGGTAGGTTACATAAGTATATTCTAAGGCCAGGGTGGGTTACTTTAATGTTGATATAATCCTGAAACACAATGAAGCTTAGCCCTTCATGTAAAATATCCCATAGGAATGAAACTAGCTGCATTTTACGGCGTATGTGCAGTTTCATTAAACCAAAACGCGACTACAGTTGATCATGAGGAAATCCTTTAGCTCTAGCAGGATAGATATTATCTAGAACAGTGGTCGCCACCCTGTCGATCGCGAGCTACCGGTAGCTCGCGGAGCAATTCTGGTAACTCTCACAACGATTTTAATTCAAAAAATACAAACTGCAAAAATCAGAGATGCTTCTGAAAATTCCACAAAAAAATCTAATTGTCATAATATTAAACATAAACAGCGGCAACGTTGCGGTGAGCGATCTGTCGCTGACGCCATCAAGCTAGAATCGACTATAACTGACCAGCCGGACCAGCGCGTTAGTGTTCGAGAACGACCAGGATTGCTTTGAACGGGATAAATACGCACGGCGCAACGACATTGTGCTTAGTTTAAAACTGAACGCGTAATCAACGTCCAGCGGTTGGGTTAGTAGAGAACAACAAAAAATAATATGGCAAGCAGTTGTAAGAAGGTAAAGACATACCACTTTCATTCGGAATGGGAAGAACAATACTTTTTTACAGAAGTTAAAGATAAAAATGTGTGTTTGTTATGTAATACTTCGGTCTCCGTTGCTAAAAAAGAAAATATTGAGAGACATCATAAAACTGTACATTCTAATTTTGAAAAGTCATTCCCACTACATTCTGCCGCCAGAAAAGAGAAACTGAAACAGTTAAAAAAGCAGTTAATTGGACAACAATCAATATTTTTAAGAACAGTCGACAAAAATAAGGCGGCAACTGAAGCATAATACCGTGTGTCCCAGATAATTGCACAAAAAAAGAAACCTTATGAAGACGGGGAAATGATAAAACAGGCGTTTTTAGAAGCTGCTGATTCGTTATTTGCCAACTTTAGAAATAAAGACGAGATAGTTTCAGCTATAAAATCTATGCAACTTTCTGCTAATACAGTGATGAGACGTGTAGAAGTAATGAGCAATAATATTTTTTTACAGTTAAGAACTGGCTTAGATAACTGTGTTTTTTTTTTCACTTCAACTGAATGAATCAACAGATGTCGTTGACACTGCCCAGATGGCTGTGTTCTTTTGAAGTTTATTCCACTGAAAGAACACACTACTGGAGAGGAGTTGTTTTCTCATTTAAAAAATATTATTTATTCCGAGAAAATTCCAATATCGAAAATGGTAGGCTTGACAACCGATGCGATGGCGCTCCAGCTATGGTGGGTTGTGATAAGGATCTGGTAGCGGTATGTCGTAAAGATGAAACTTTTCCGCAATTTCTCTGTTACCACTGCATTATCCATCAGCAAGCATTATGTGGAAATTTCCTGAAACTAAACAACGTTATGAAACTGGTGGTAAAAATTGTGAACAAGATTAGAGCTCAAGCGTTACAAAGAAGATTATTCAAAACCTTGGCCGATGAAGTTGACTGTCAATACGGGGACCTACTCCTTCACT